TATTTGATGTTACAAGACCTAATTTTGCATGTGAAAAGTTCACACTTGAGTATAGAATCATTGAGGTGTGTGAACCACCCTGTTACCCAGAAGCTTCTCCAGTGTAAGTCCATGTGCAAGCTCCACACCTCTATCCTTGTTTACTAGCTATTGATCTACATGACTAATCTATTATAAGATGACTCTTCTGATAATTGCAGGTGAAGAAACTGTGCTACAGGCTGTTAACTAACTTCTCCATGATCACACAACTAGTAAAAGGATAATGAGAAATCGAATTAAGTCCTTTGCCCCCTGTATCAACAATTACCCCACCCACCATCAGTAAGCACATCTGTAGGTACACTTGCTGCTTCCTGAGTACCTACTTTGCCGGGAACAGGAAAGGTTGGCATTTGAAGAGCCTGGGCCTGAACCAAAAGGCAATTTTTAAAAAGCATATTTAGGGTCTATGGAAAACCAAAACAACGTGGTGTCTTCTTCCTCAGACTAGGCAGTCAGCTTATGCTAAGACAGTAACAAACTTCAAGAACAATTCAGTGTTAGGAACACTGAATTCTTTTCTCATGAATACTTGCAAGAGACGTGTCTGATTTTGCAGGATGTTAGACATACTATAAGTATTTGGAGATTTCTGGTCATCATTTAGAAGACCACACTGGACTGCAGTAGTTCAGAGAGGACATGAAACACTTTTTAAAAGTGTACTAATCAGGTTGAAGAAATGGCTCAATGATTAAGAGCACTGGTGTTCTTACAGAAGACCCAGCACAGCAGCTACCAACCATCTATAACTCCAGTTCCAGGGGACTCTGATGCCCTCTTCTGGCCTCTGTGGGCACTGCATGCACATGGTGCACTTATCTTGTATGTGCAAAACACTCATATACATAAAATAAAACCAAAGAAAATTTTAAGTGTACTAGTTACATCCTTCACCCACATCTCACCTCTCACAGCCATTGCTTTAGTAGCTTTCTCCTCTTCCTAACCTGATTGACGCAGAAGAGTAAATCAGTAACCAAAGCCTAATTCTGATGGTCAAGGAACAGCCCTTCTCTGGGGTAAAGTGGACTTACTTTATGCCAGTTTATCTATTTTCCTGATGCTTAGCCACAATTAAAGGAGGGTGGCTAACTATAAAAAATGAACTTGTCCAATCTCAAAATTAAACCTAGGACCAATAGAAATAGATAAACTATCTTATCTCAAATTGGGACTCTGGTAATCACCACAGCTATTCTTTAACAGCTGGCCCTACTGTGTGCCTGGTGTGTCCTAGGAGTTCTACTGAGATTATTTTGTGTAATTCTTGTAATACCCCTGGTGAAATGAATCACTCTATTCTGCATTTTATAAATAAGAAAAATTAGGCCCAAGTTCACACAAAAAGTTGAAGAACTAGAATTTGAATCGCAGTCCAGAGACTTGGCTGGTTTTAATCACAGGAAAACACCCTTGAAGCCAGTGTGTGAAGAGACTCAGCTTCAAGATTTCAGAGCCTAGTTCTTAACCATGACTGAACATAGAATAATCTAGGGAGCTTTAAAAACGGTTGGTTGAAGCCTGGGTTCCACCCCCACAGATGTGATTTAACTGCTCGGAAGCTGCTAGGTGCTCAGAGGGCAGTATAGCCAGATAGAGGCACACTGCTTACCAAACGGTATGGCTGGCCTATGGCTCACTTGAAATTGGCAGAGAAAACTTTCAAATGTTAAGTAAACACTATGTTGGGCAAAGGTTGCTGCCACCTCTGCCACCGGCATGTGACCTCTGCCTTACTCTTCAGTTTAATTAAGGTGCCAGTATGGAAGCTAGATTCCCAGATGTTTAATAATAGGAGATAAATGATGATAGATAGATAGATGATAGATAGATAGATGATAGATCGATAGATAGATGTAGACAGATGATAGATAGATGATAGATAGATTGATAGATGATAGATAGATAGATAGATAGATAGATAATGGATAATTTTTTTTAAGACATGGATTTTGTTGAGAGGGTTGTCTGGTCTCTGAATTTTTCCTAGAAATCCTCCAATTCCAATGTATAGGACTATTCTAAATTAAAATGTACTCAAACTTACAAGTTCCCTACCTTCAAAGGACTCTGGAATACAGTCTATTCTTCAACTGAAGATGACTCAAATGTGCTCAGTTAACAGATGTCTACCATTATTGTAGCATCAATTAAACTTTTCAGGAGTTATGTTTGAAAAGAAAGCCACTCATAATCAACTCAGATCTTAATCCAGGTCAAGTTAAGAGATCTTAATGAACTAAACAAGCCTGAAGAATTGAGGGGGCTCATGAGATGGCTTAGTCAGTAGGGTGGAGTTGCAAGTTTGGAACCCCGAACCCATGTAAGAAGTCGAGTGTGGTTTCTGTTACCCTAGCACTGAAGAGCAGATCTCTGAAGCTCATTGGCCCACAAAGCTAGCTCAATCAATGAGCTTCAGATTCCATGAAAGACCCCTGTATCAAAAAAATAAAGGTTAGAAAATGATTGAGAAAAGACATGTGGTATCAGCCTCTGGCCTCCACACTCATTTGCACCCAGCAGCACATGCATATATCAAAAGCAAACAAATAGCCAGGCATGGTGGTGCACGCCTTTAATCCCAGCACTCAGGAGACAGAAGCAGGTAGAGCTCTGTGAGATCAAGGCTAGCTTGGTCTACATAGCCAGTTCCAGGTCAGCTGGGGCTACAGGGAGACCCTGTCTCAAACAAGCAAATGAACAAGAAATTAAATAAGAATGGGTCTGCTGCTCCGAATACCCTTTTGTGCAATGCCATTTGTCACAGGGAAGGGAAAGCAAACGCGGCAGGCCATCAGCGAATGCTCATCATTAAAGGGTGGGCAGATGTGAAGATAATCCTGCAGAAGGCAGGAGTGAATCCATTCTTTGAAAAAAGCAGAAATGCTGGCCCGTCTGTGAAATAATTCTTCCTCTACCATCATTGTGACCGTTGCACTGCTGCCATCCAAGAGGAAATGGCAAAAGAATCAATGAGGAAAGAAACCGCAGGGGATGCTGAGATGGCTTGGGTGGTGAAGTGCTTGTAGTCCAAATGTGAGGTCTTGAATTTGGATCCCAGCAACCAGGCAAAGAGACAGGCTGTGGGTGCATGTCTGCAATCCCAGTGCTGGGGAGGAGGAGAGGGAAGGATCTCTGAGCTCACTGGCCAGCCAGTCTAGCTGAATCAGTCAGTTTAGTGAGTGACTGTCTCAGAAAATAAGGTGGAGAGGCAGATGAACACAACAGATGCCAACCTCTGGCCTTCACATACAAGCAACCACATATGCACACATCTGCAGCAAAGACACTCACACACACAAGTTGTATGTGTGCTGTACAATAGAGATGGGCAAATCCCAGAGGCTACCTTTCCAGCCAACCTAGCCAAAATAGGAGCTCTGGATTCAGTTAGAGACCCTGTCTCAAAAAAATATAAGGTAGAGACCATATCAAGGAAGTTCCTAACATCAACCTCTGCTCCCACATGCTCAGATGAGCAAGTACACACATGCATACCCCCCCACACACACATACAGAAACTCATAGGCAAGCCGAAGCTACCTCTAAGTAAATAAGTAAAATATCTGCCCTTCTCTTAACAACAACTCATAGGTAACTCATAAGTAAATTTCCACAGGTTTAAACAACTTTTTTAAAATCTAAGAGTGTATCAAAACAGGTTTTCCTTCTGAAGTGTGCCCAGTCATTTTCAATGCTTGTGGCTAAGCAGCCTCAGGAAGCTAAAAATACTTTCTTTTCTTCTAAGTTGGGAAGAACAAATCAGACCAAGCAAATAGCTGCATATCATTTTCTCTCATCTTAAATTTCTTTCTAGAAAATGCTCGGAATAGCTGGAGCAAAGAAACAGCATCTGTTTTATATTTGTATACACATCCACAGACAGAAACAACCCTCTAGCTTATGTATGTCAAGCAAGATATAATAAGCTGTATTTGCATTATCAGAAAAGACGGTCAGCATATTGCTTCTTAGGGATTTTATTTCTTTCATTTGGTTGGAGAGAGAGATGTGTAAGTGTTGAAAGAAAACCACTAGAACAGATAAAAGCTTGCATAAAATATACAAGATGAGTATGTCCTTAACATGACCACACAGTGCTTACACAGCATTCATGAATCATTTATGCCTTAGAAATTCACATTTGAGGTTCTTAAAATAGAAAGACACAAGCTTTGAACAGGTCGCACAGGAGTTGTGTCTGCTGTAACCTGCAAAGTGAAAAATTCTTCCCTTTGACTTCCCAAGGCTAATTGTAAAACCTACACATGCATGCACGCACATGCACACAGAGGGCTCTGTGATCAATGGAGGTTACCCAGGAAGACAAATAAGCCTTTTAAAAAACACACATCTGCAGAATGGTTAGCAGTCAAGTAGTGTGGACTTTTCTAACACACCCAACATCTCTCAAGTCGCCTATTAAGCTAGTAGAATAAGGCTAATAACAGTAACAATAATACAAAAATAGGAGGTCTGAGTTCCATTCATGGGAGATCACTTTGGGCCACTAGAATATAGCCTTTTTTTTCCCCCCTCTCTTGAAAAGGAGCACCATTGGGAAATTTCTGCCTAATTCTCCATTTCTTGAACCAGAAAAGCAAATGTCCACAGAGGCGTCATGCCCCTCGGGAATGGTTGGCAGATGTGGCCCCATGGCTGTTTGCCTGGATTGCAGCTGGGCCTTTGATAAGTCCTGGAGTGGCTATGTGCACATACACCTACCAAACTCCAGGCGGGACCACTATCTGGCTGTGTGGATTCCAAAAGTAACCCCTGGAAGGAAGCAGGAAGTGGACATGTCATCTCCCCACACGTACACAGAGGCCAGCACCCTGGACCGCTCCCTCTGGAAGTCCCTGAAGCTCAAGGGGTGGCACCAAGCCCACCAAGCTACTTTTGCAGCCCGGGAAGAAGCGCCGGGCGAAGTTGGCGGCGCGTCCCGTTAACTATACCTTGCAGCTGGGCGGAGAGCGAGTCCTGATGCTGCTGGTACTTGAGCGCCACCGCCTCGGCTTTGCGCAGCTGCGTCTGCAGCTCGTAGTAGAGCATCGCGCCATAGAGGAAGCCGAAGACCACGGTGAGCAGCAGCAGGGTCTGGAAGATCCTCTTCTGTTTTCGGGAGCACATCCCGTTTCCCATAGTCCCGCCTGCACCCCGCGCGGCAGCGGTGCCGGTCCTCGTCCCCTCGGTCCCCGGAGGGAGCCTCAGCAGCGGCCACCGTGGGAGGTGGCTGGACGCGGCATGGGCAGGAGACGCGAGACACAAAAGCCGGGCTGCAGGGGAAGTGGCGGCCGCTCAGGCCCCGCGCACGGCGGGGTGCCAGGCCATCGACGCCGCCCGGGCAGCGGCCACCAAACTTGTGCGACGCTGGGTGTCCGCGAGTGGCCGGGCCCGCGTGGGGACCCTGTGCATACTTCGGAGCGCGCGGCCCCGCGCCCGGTCCCCACGCTGCGCCCGGCTGGGTCCCTGCGCCCCACTTTTTGGCTTGGCTGTGCCGCCCCTCGCCACCTCCGAGGCGACGCGCTCCCAACAAAGGGACCGGGCTCGGGCGGCGTCCCCGCGGGGAGGCGGACAGATGGGCACGGGCTGCCCTGGCCGGGTCAGGGGGAGGCAGGGCCGGTGTCACTGCTCGGGCAGCTACAGCCGCCCGCCACCTCCCACCCAACTTACGTGTCACCCACGGTCCCGCCGTCCTGGCCAACGGGATTCCGGGAGGAAGTCCCACTCGGGCTCCCTGCTCATTGGGTCCGCGCAAGCCGCCGCTCCCTCCTTTCGGGGAGCCAGTGCTGGGCTCCATTGGACGCCCGCTTTGTCCGTCCCGCCCCGGGCCGCGCCTTCCCTCCCAGCTCCGGGCAGCCCCGGGCTCTGTGGACTCTGCGGCCGCCTGGCGCCCGGCTGCGCCCACGTGGAGCCCGGGTGGGTGAGGAGAGGCGGAGGAGCAGGGTGGGGTGCGCTGGGGACTTGTCCTGGCCTGAGGCTTGGTGACGATCAGTGTGCGTGTGTGTGTGTGTGTGTGTGTGTGTGTGTGCACTTGGAACGCACGTGGGGAGAGAGTACCTAGCGCACACTTAACCTAGAAACGCAAAACGGCTGTGCGCGCTTTCTGCTGAAACCTTAGTTCTTTCGCTGCCCGGTGAGCTCAGGCTGCTAACACACTATGCCCATTGCATAATAAGCTCCATGTCTGCTGAGTCTTGACCCATTAGTGACCCTAGCCTGGATGCGTGATTGCCCACAGATGAGCATAAGCAAACTGCGACTCAAGAAGCTCGTTGACTGTCCAGGTGGGGTGGGGAAAGCACTTTGCAGTTGGCAGAGGGAAAAAAAATGATCTCATGCTTCCCCTGGCTACAGATAGAATAATTTGAAAACGATTTCTACAAGCTGAGATGAGTATGAGTTCATCTTGTCACGTGTATTTGTATTATTGGTTGCAAAAAGACATCAGTTACATTTCCAAAGTGTACTTAAAGGGCTCTCATATATATATATATATATATATATATATATATATATAATGACAAGGATGAGAACCCAAGCCACTTCAAAGAAATCCGGTGATTTGTCCTTCCATGTAAAAGAAAAGGGAAGTTAAAGTTGTGCATAAATGATAATTTTGTCTCTCCTTGACATGAATTTTAAAGGAACTACATTATTTTCAAAGGTCTCAGTAGTATGGTGGCATTTATTACATTCTGTCTAATTTGTGTGATTTCCTGACTGAGTTTTAGTCATCACCATCAATTTTCAGGATGGAATACTTAAGATGAGGGAAAACCTCTTTAGAAAGAAAGACATTCTAAAGACAGTCCCTGTGCTGAGTGTTTTTAGCTCTGGTCACAGGTAGACAAGAGCTATAAAACCAGGCTGAGGCACATACATTACTGTGAAAGTTAAGTGGGATTGGTATGTGCACTTACTAATAAAAATATCAGGTTGTATTGCTCAGAACACTCTTACCAATACACTGTCCTATTTATCATAGCCAGGATATAAGATTTACTTGTTGGTAATAAAGAAACCAAACTTGACAAAACTTAGAAAAAGTGAGTTGCTCACAATAGGAGAATCTATTTGAATCTTGCTGTTTCCATCTTTTTCTTCTATAGAAACCAAGTTCTTATTCTGATTAAACAACTTGTGAGAAAGAATTGTATTTATTCAGTTAAAAAGGAACCTCCACGAGGTCTGGAATCCTAGCTACTCAGAAGATGGAGGCAACGGATTGCAAGTTCGAAGCCTGACCTGGTGATAGAGTTCATGGTCAATCTGGACAGCTCAGAGAGACTGTCTCAAATAGAAAGTGACAAAAGATCTGGGAATGCTAGCTTAGTGGTAGAACCCTTACTTAGGACGTGCCAGGCCCAGGGTTCAATCATCAGTCCAGCAAAAGAAAACAAGAGCTTAATTTAAAAACAAAGTCTTAAGTTTTCTATTGTGTAAATATCAGAGTCTCAATTTTTATGGAACTGACCATTGCTTAAGTTTCCCTCTTTCAGTTTTGGTCATACAAATTGAGAATAATTACTAGGATTCCTTTAAAATTCCTCAGAACTAAAAACTCCAAGATATTATCAGTATACAATTTATTACACAAGTTCTGTAAAAACTCCGCTCAAACTGCTCTAAAGGAAATGAAATTTATAGCAGAAACCTTAACCCATGCTTGAATAAGAAATTATTCTGGCCACAAAAAGGGAAAAAGAATTAAATAAAGGAATGGAAACTTGCTGCACATATATTACACAGCATACAGTATTTAGCTGTATTTCAAAATATTTGGAAAGTATTTGTGCTTCCTGAATTCATGATTACTCATTTTAAACCTCTGATTCCTTAGCATCTGATTCTTTCCAGACTCTGACAGTATTCCATGCCTAAAGTGGCTCACTGACTCTACAGATATAATAAACGAAGGCCATAAAACACAACTCAATATTTTAGTCATAAAATTTGAAAGAGAAAAAAATTATTACCTGCATGTCTCCATTATTTTAAATTCAAGAAGGGTTTGTAGAAGTACATAAAATCACTAAAGGCAGTGTCTTTACAGTGGCACATTTTCAAGGTGAAGTACCTGGCTGTTTCTTAAAGATATCAGAATAGAGCTTTGAAGCAACAGATGCAGGGTGGGATAGAGGAGCTATGAATTAAATTTGCATAACATTGCCTTTGGGTAGAATTTGTAATCTATTGTTGTAGTAGCAAGAAAGGCTCTTTTAAGAGAGTACTGTTCTATAAAATCCCTGACCTGGGTGGAGAGCTATCATTCCTGTTCAGCCAGGTCAATCATCTGGTCATGGGAACATCTCCAGGAAGACAGGTTCACCTTAAGCCATGCTAAAGAAGTAAGAGGAATCACTGGTACACTAATGAGATGCTGAACTTTCCCTGCCCAGAATCACTGCCCCTGGTGCAGTCTCTAACCTAGCCAAGCCATTCAGTTTTCTGTTTGCCTACATTTTTTTTTTAAATCGCTTTTCTATCCATTCTTTCCCTAACATTCTAAGCTTCCCCAACATTTGGGGTTTATTTATTCTTTCTTTAGGTCCCCCTCACTACATAGCTGCTGGTCTGCTGTGTGCCTGACCTCCATACTGGCTTTAAAAGGTGTAGGCTGGGGCTGGAAAGATGGCTCAGTGGTTAAAAGTACTGTCTGCTCTTGCAGAGGACCACACCCACATGGCAGCTAAGAACCATCCATACATAATGCCCAGGGATCTGACACCCTCTTTTGGCCTCCTTGGGCTTTGCAGGACATGGGTGCACCTACATGCATGCAGGTAATATACTCATGCACATATAAAATAATAATTTTAAAGGCGTGGTGGTGTACGCCTTTAATCCCAGCACTTGGGAGGCAGAGGCAGGCAGATCTTTGTGAGTTCAGGGCCAGCCTGGTCTACATAGTGAGTTCCAGGACAGCTGGGGCTACAGGGAAACCCTGTCTCAAAAAAAAGAAAATGAACAGCATGGTTTTGTTTTTTTTTTTCTTTCTCTACTGTCCTCAGCAATTGTTCAGGTTTACAGCTCACCTGCCCTGATGATTTTTCATTTAAACTCCCATAAATTTATCCTTAAGCTTCCATTTGAGTTCATTCTTAAATTCTGTATTAATGAAACTGAGACTCCTAAAAGGGGACCCCATTTTTCCCTGTATCAATGTGAGCTACTTAAGCTGGTCCTGGAAGGTCCATCGCTGTTGTATTGCTGTTGTTGTTTTTGGTTGGGAGGTTGATTTTTCTTGAAACCGGGTTTCCCTGTTGCTCCACCTGACCTGGAACTCACTATGTAGACCAGGCTGGCCTCAACCTCACAGTTCTGCCTGCCTCTACCTCCAGACTGCTGGGATTTAACGTACCCCATACCAGGTTGGAAGGTGTATTGTTAGTTCTATTTTATTTTTGTTTCCTTATTATGTTAAAAACAATACTATATTTTGTTTAATAACATTAAATTTTATGGAGCATATATTTAACAGTGCATGGATATAATAACAAAATTGCAAATACTGAGGAATTTCCCCTATTTAATGTTTTGTTTCTAAGTCAGGAAAAAATTAAAGGCACTCATAATCTCACATTTGGGAAGTTCAGCATTTTCTGTAGCTTAAACCAATATTATTTTGCTCAAATATGTTTAGATTCCAAAGAGGGGTTGTTAAGAATAATACATCAGGAAGAAGCAGCTGATGCATACATAATTTGGAAAAACAAGTGGTTCTAAAATAATAAGTTTAGGAACTAAGAGTAAATAATCTCCATTGCTTGAAAACTTTGAATATATATATATGAAATGAAATTCAATATGATTTAATTTATAAGAGAAATTAACAACACCCAAATGATCACGAGTATTAGACTTGAAAACGGTGAGCTCTGCATGTAGCTGCTATTAGAATATTTACCAAGGATGGACAAAACCTTGGCCACCTCTATTTCTGGCACTGCAAATATCCTAGTTGGCTTGAATTGTCAACTTAGCACAGCCTAGAGTCATCTGAGAGTAAAGTCTTGATTGAGGAATTACTTAGATCAGATTGGCCTGTGGGCAAGTCCATGGGGGATTGTCTTTATTGTTAATATAGGAAGGCCCAGTCTACTGTGGGCAGTACTTTCCCATGGAGGAAAGTTGCTTGCTGGCCTGCTCCCTTGATTTCTTTTACCACACAGGACCACCTGCTCAGGAGTGGCACCACCAACCACCACGGGCTAGGCCCTCCCACATCACTCAACAATCAAGATAATGCCCCCACAGAATGCCTATAGGTCATGAGGA